GGCCCTGGAGCTCTATGTCTCTGACAAGCAGTCACCAGCCACATTGACCTGATCAGTGTTTGATTGTTGTGTCTTGTTGCTTTTCTTCTTTTGTCTCTCCTCTATCCACTCACCCCAACCGGTCGAGGCAGAAGGCCGCCCACCAAGAGCCGGGGTCTGTTGGAGGTTTCTTCCGTTAAAGGGAGTTTTTCCTCCCCACTGTCGCCAAGTGCTTGCTCAAGGGGGATTTGTTGGGTTTTCCCTATGTAATAATATTGATAACAGTAAGGTCTAGACCTTACTTTGTAAAGTGTCCTGAGATGACTTTTGTTGTGATTTGGCGCTATACAAATAAAATTTGATTTGATTTGATTTGACTTGACTAATTAAAAAAATAATCAGCATGTTAATCAGTAATGGAAATAATGATTTTTTTTTTAGATTCTCTTAAAAACAGAATGAAGCACATATGGATACAACTCAAACTCTGCAAATGATGATGCAGCAGTGGATAGAGACCTGTTGTGTCTCTTATGTATCACTGCCTCCACACTCACCCACAAAATCCTTAGCAAACTCTATTAAAGGCCAAAAAATCTTACCAACAAAACAAAGCCCATAAGAGTCAAGAAACTATGTGTCTTCTTGTTTATTAAGACTTCGGGAATGTCAATAAGAGCATTTCTATACAGTATTAGGGTTGAGGAGGCCAGTGCACAAACACAATGACCTTCCGCTATTCTCCTCGCTGATAATGACCCAGACACAGGCACGCTGCCCATGAGCCAGACCTCTAATAAAGCCAAACATTCTATCATCTGCTAATAACCTCCACGCAGCAGCAGGAGTCATGGACAGGCCAGCGCCTTGTAAATGCAAGGAGGGGAACAAAGTTCTGGGCAGACGGGACGTAGTGGGAAGCATCCCGTTGATCGATCTGAGACTGTGCACAGCCTGATGGAACATGGTGGTAACTACATTCTTCTACTTCATCTGCCAAATGCACAAAGTCTACAGTAAAAAAGGAAGAACAAGCATAAACAAAACATTATGCTAACAATCAATCCTTTCAAGTACACTCATTTGCTGGGCTCTTGGTTGACACACTGCTACACAAGTACAATTATGTGCATGTACACATTGGCAGGAGTGGTATTTTTCCAGAAAGAGGGTTAGCAAACCCGTTCCCCCTGTCTTAATTGCTATAGAAATTCCATCCGGTTTTTCCTCTCAGCAACATCGCCAGGCGAATGCTGATTAATTGTCCTCCAAGTCCTCATAATACCCCCCAAACACCCTGCACATATATTCTCTGTTAGAAGACATCCACTTCAACTCTCTGCAGACCCCACTCATCCACAGTCAGTTTCACGGTTCAGCTGAGGGTCATTTTCCAACAATCCCACTGGTTTTCTCTTGCCTCTCCTCCAGCCTTCACATCACTGGCTCAGCCCGATAATGTACCTGTACAGCTGGTCTGAGAAGGCCTGAAGAGAGAACTTATCTTGTACCCTCCTCCTCCCAGCTTGGCCCATGTCCTTGCGGAGCTTCGGCTCCCTGACGAGCCTCTCCATCGCCTTAGAGAAGGCCTCGGCTGTGGGCTCACACAGGAAGCCCGTCTCCCCATCTGCCACGCTCTCCAGGGGGCCCCCTGAGTTCACAGCAATAACAGGGCAGCAGCAGTACATGGCCTCTACAGGAACTATCCCAAAATGCTCTCTGCTTGGGGTGTAGAGCACAGCAGTGCTGCCCTGCAGCAGTGCCACCTTCTGTGAATCAGAGGGGGAGCGCAGGAAAGTGACACAGTCCTGTAGGTGGAGCTGCGCTGCCAGATCTTTCAGTTCATTGTAATGTTGAATGTTCTCAGTAACCCGGTCATCATAGCCCCCGGCCACCACCAGATGAATACCTGCTCTCAGGGCTGGAGGAAGGCTGCTCTTCAGGAAGGCCAGAGCCTCCAGAGCCAGGCCCAGATTCTTCTTTCTCTCATATCGGTTCAGACAGAGAAAGAGGCAGGATGTTCCTTCAGGGAGCAGGCCTCCCAGGCCTTGTGCTTCAGTCGACAACTTGTCAAAGGTGTGAGTGTTGAGGGACGGATAGAGGACATCTGTCTGGACACTGCTTAGACTATGAAACGTCTCCCTGAAAATGCCTGCAGTGAAGTGGCTGTTTACCAGAATCTAGGAGGAAATATAGAGATTAGATATAAGGATCACACATGTATATCATGGCGGATTTAATTCCCTATAAGCTGGGAAGCAGCCTAAAGTCTAGATTAAAATCAAAATGTATGCGTCCTTGACAACAGACACCATCAAATTCTGAATAATCACTTTGGTTTATTCAGCTGCTTAATGCTACAGTATACCTTGTACTTTAATTTATTCTATTACAGTGCAGTTTTAAACAGAGTAGTTGCAGTAGCACTGTAGCTTTCAAAGGCCAAGCTCAAGTTTGTTGGGAAAAGAGACATAACTTCTCTTAACCTGTCAAACAACAGAGATAAAAATAATTCTGTGTGAATCAACTCTGGTTGTGCAAATGCATTAAGATTTTACACATTGATAAATCAAGTAAAACTGGATGGAGCTTGGTGACTCTCCACTATACTAACCCCCTCCATTACACTCTGTTGCCTACAGTCCTTCCATTATTATTCCAGGTTTTCTACCCTGTGTTCAAAGCCCCAGACTTCCACCTAGAAAAGGTTATAAAAAGGTGTTTTTGGAACTGCGAGTAGTCATTTCAAACAGTCAGTCATGGAGGAGCTCTTGGCAGCTGAAAGTCCGTAACAGTGGCCGCCAGAGCGAAGAGGCCACATTAATTTGTATAGAGAGAGAGAAGGACAAAGAAAGAGCAAACAGCAGGATTAACACCAGTTTGGCTTTTTGAGATGGAGAGTGTTAAAAGCAGCCAAAGGACTCAAATTTGGTTCAGATGTGGTGTTCTTCCTTTTGGATATGTTAGTATCTAAAGCTAATGTGTTTCTTTTGGTAACATTAGCAAACTAGTGTGGTCCTCACTTTACCTTTGCATTGAATTAATATGAATTACATTTCAGAGTAATTCAAAATTTGTGTAACATTAGTGCTTTGTGTGACATTATTACAACTTTCTACTGGACTGCCAATTTTACACATTAGTCTGCTAGTTTTGGACTGTTTGCATAGCTTGTCTCAACCAGGAACAGGGATTAATGTAGTCAATAAGGATACAGGACACAATGGGAGGGACAATAAGCAGTTTGAAGCGGCTTATGTCACTTTGCATGTGTTTCACTCGACCCTCTAGCAGCTGAAAAGAAATGAGGTAGAGTATCTCTAATTAGCTTGTAACTGCAATCTAATTTGGCTGTAGCCAAACCAATTCCACTTGTTAAGACAATGTATTTCTGGGTTATTAGTTACAAGTCTGTATGAACACCGTGTTGCACAGCCCTTAGCTCTCCTGTAGACTACACCGGAAATCCTCTGCAAAGACCCTCTGGCCAATCTTAAGTCTGCGCAAAAGGCTTGCTTCATTGTTCACTCAGGATAATAATTGGATATGTTAGTATCTAAAGCTAATGTGTTTCTTTTGGTAACATTAGCAAACTAGTGTGGTCCTCACTTTACCTTTGTATTGAATTAATATGAATTATATTTCAGAGTAATTCAAACTTTGTGTAACATTAGTGCTTTGTGTGACATTATTACAACTTTCTACTGGACTGCCAATTTTACACATTAGTCTGCTAGTTTTGGACTGTTTGCATAGCTTGTCTCAACCAGGAACAGGGATTAATGTAGTCAATAAGGATACAGGACACAATGGGAGGGACAATAAGCAGTTTGAAGCGGCTTATGTCACTTTGCATGTGTTTCACTCGACCCTCTAGCAGCTGAAAAGAAATGAGGTAGAGTATCTCTAATTAGCTTGTAACTGCAATCTAATTTGGCTGTAGCCAAACCAATTCCACTTGTTAAGACAATGTATTTCTGGGTTATTAGTTACAAGTCTGTATGAACACCGTGTTGCACAGCCCTTAGCTCTCCTGTAGACTACACCGGAAATCCTCTGCAAAGACCCTCTGGCCAATCTTAAGTCTGCGCAAAAGGCTTGCTTCATTGTTCACTCAGGATAATACTCACCTTTATTTGGCCAAGTATGTTACACACACAAGGAATTTGTTTCCGGTACAGAACCGAGGCAGCCATCTGTGGCGCCAACTCACACTGATGGCACTAACCATCGGGGGCAACTTGGGGGGGGGTCCATTCGCTTAGCATTCCTTACCAACTTTTTAAAAGATGCTAAGCATTCCATTTTTATCTGAATAAAGTAAAACAACACAATCTGACCATAAAAACCTGTGCTCATCCTGTCGTCCACCCTCAGCTGTCACGTACCATATCAGCCATGCCCGTGGTGCGTTCCTCCAGCCAGTCGATGGGAGTGCGGTACAGCTTCTTCAGAGCTGACTTCCTCTCAGTCAGCAGCTGATCTGGGAAGTGACAGTAGAACAGAACCTTTTTCCTGTGTCGAGATAGTCTCAGCACCGGGACACATACAGATACCTGCGGTCAAAAGAACAAAACTCAATGTTGACATGAACAAATATATACACATCTTCCCCAAAAATTCTTCCTCTTTCATGGCTACTCATAAACAAGTATGGCAGCATTTTTGGACTTGTGTGCAAGTAAGACCCATAATTCTTCCCTTAAGGTAATCGGTGCATTTTGAACATGTCTTAGTACCATGGTGCATCATTCACACATTTATGGAGACAAAGCAAACAAAAACATATAAACACTAAAAAGAAAAGAATACTAAATATTGAAATACATAACACAGTTGAACATTCAAGTATATAAATGGTCACTAAATATAAAACATATGTTCTGAGTTCGAGCTCCAGCCGACCTGGTGCCTTTCTGTGTGGGGTTTGCATGTTCTCCCTGTGCCTATGTGGGTTCTCTCTGGGTACTCCTGCTTTCTCCCACAGTCCAGTGGCATGCAGCTTAGGTTGATTGGCGACTCTAAATTGCCCATAAGAGTGAGTGTGGGTGTGTGTGTGTTTATTTGTCTATATGTCAGCCCTGTGATAGACTGGCGACTTGTCCAGGGTGTACCCCACCTCTCACCCAATGTCAGCTGGGATTGGCTCCAGCCCTCCCGCAACCCTACTCAGGACAAGCAGTATAAATATTGGATGGATGGATGGATGGATGGATGTAAATGCTAAACAGTCTATCTAACCACTAAATATACATTTTTCCAACTCTTGTGACCTCTGCATTACATGTTTTGGCTGATAATAATTGTGAAGCTTCTTCTAGGCTGAGAAATGCTTTTTATACTCCTTTAATTATGTGCATGTGTATTTGTATCAAAGACAAAACTGTAGAAAATAAGCAAAAGAGTGACCACTTTATGACATGGTATAGTAAAAGGGTGTGACACAAAAAAGAGACACAAAGAGACAGACTCTATTCTCTGACCAACAAAGACAGTTATGAGATACAGAAGGCTCAGAAAAACTCAAATAAGTGACGACCAAAATGACAAAGATTTGCTTACTCAACTCACCTGATCACAGAACACAACGTCAAACTCCACGCTACTGAGGAACACCAGGTAGAGGGCCACATAGATCATCCTCAGGTAGGCACACAGGGCATGTAGGTAGCCAAACACACTTGTGGGAAGCCAGTCACCCACACATACCTGTTAGAAAAGTAACAAAAACAATTAGGTCATACCTATCATATTTTACATTTGCTATTCTTTATCTTTGTTGTGTATCTCTTAGGGACAGCATTATGTAGTAAGGCTTGTGTTGCCGTACCACAGGCAGGTCTGGATCCAGGGTCTCAGAGAAACAGTGTGTTGTGTCATGATGGGCCGTCCAGATCTGAACACTACATCCCTGAGACTTCAGAGCAACCGCAGCATCAACGACAAGTCGCTCTGCTCCACCAATACCTAGGTCTGGATGGAGAAACACCACACGCACCATCCTGCACACCAGAAGAATAAAGCTAAAACTGAATGTGGAGTACATTAAGACAATGCTGGTTTAAAGACCAGATTTAAAATAAAAATGCATGAAACATTACTATATCATGTAGAATGACAGTGATACATTGATAAGCACAGATAGCCAAACAGTACAAGTAACGTTAATGCCAAAATCAGATGTAAAAGCTATGTCAACACTTAAAGAAGTGACTGCCTTATCATACGAAATGCCTCACACAGGAAATGTGTTTTCTTTGGCATGTAAACAGTGTAAACTTGATACTTCCAAAAGAAGAATTCATACATCTACTCTGATTCCAGCATTTCAGAGCTGCAGTACAGCTGTGACTGTACAACTAAATTTAGTGTATAACTTCTACCCCTTAAAGTACTTGTCATGTTAGTTGAAAATGTACCTACATTTACTTTACCTGACTGTTTCAGTATCTCAAAGTGCTCTGCTGGAACTGTACGGTCCATGGTTATCAAGTCACAAAAATGAGACTTGTGATTCAGATAACTGTTTGTGTTGGAAAATGTCACCTAAGTGTCTTTAGCTGCCGTGGTAAGGTTGTGCGTACTAACTTATTTATGTAGCTAATGAAAATAACCCGTTTCAAATAGCTAAATTAGCGGGTAACTGTCTCTTTAACTAGACACCACAACCAAATATCTCTGCACAATTTAATAATAAGGTATTTATGCTTACCTTTGGTTCTCTTCACTACCTTGTCCACTTTTTGGGAAGCCTGTGATTATGCTGGTCTACCAGCAGGTATCGTTAATGTTTAGACTCCATTTTGGCTCATGTCAACAGTTGTAGATAGGGGACTAATGCTTCGTGTTTGAGCCACAATGGCGCCAGTCTCCTCAATGAGACCTTGCTTCCTGTAAGACACGTCTTATTCAGAGTCAAGGTGGGTCATTAATTTGCCTTTGATTTAAAGTACAAATAAATTTATTATCTTGGATAATAAAAACGGATTTTTATACGAAATATACGGTTCATTGAAGTGGTATAAAATCAGCCTCATATAATAATGGATGTTTCGTTCTTTTTAGGGTGAATACGATGAGCCGGTCAGGCTTGTGCCCGGCCAACTGAGCCGATCTTGTATTCTGCAGTCGTGTCCTTTTTAGCCAAGCGTCAGCTTTTTGAGACCCCTTTTTAAGTTTTAACCAATTCACGCACTGACTGCCTGCTATACATTTGACGTGGACATCAACTTGAAAAGGGGCTCAGGGCTTCAGGTCGCATCGGGACAAATAAAACAAAATGGTAAGACTTTCAGTTCCATCTGAAACGATTACCGCTGTTGAAGCTAACATCCTTCGTTGTGTTCATTTAGACCTGAGCTAACGTTTTGCTAGCTGTTAGCTATCTTGCCAATCTTGGCTTAATCACAAGTAGACGTGGCTATTCTTCAGCTACTCGAACATTAATAAAATGCACAATTTAAACTGGCGTAGCACAAAATGAGTTAATTGTACATGTATACATTTGGTTGAGTGTGCATGTTGTCAGTAGTTAGATGTTGAAAGCAATGAACATTGTGGACTCGTACTGTAACGTTAGGCCTTTGGCATCAATCTGAGATAAAATAAAAAATAAAAACAACATATTGTTCTTACAGTTCAAAATCAGATGTAGGTTAGTTAATAAAAAACAATTCTTTTTATTTCAGTGTTTTGGGTTACTTAGGTTAGTTAATAAAAAACATTACTTCTTTTTATTTCAGTGTTTTGGGTTACATTAGCTGTGATTGTTTATGCGCGTGAGTGACAGATTTTGACAGACAGAGAGAGGGTAAGGGTTTAAATTAATGGAGTTGAATCCTGTCTGTGATTAATTTTGGTGTTTTCCTCTCAGCCTGGACCAGCAGCAAGTGCAACCAATGTTGGGGCATCTAGCCGTTCCCCCAGTAAGACAGTGGCGCCCCGTGCAGCAGGCTCCACAGTCAGGCAGAGGTAAACCCTCATGAAAGGTCCACTAAATGTTTACTTCTAAAACTGCACTCATTCAAACAGGCATTCCATAAGTGAATGCTACATAAAGACAAGATCATGTAATATAACAAGTGTAGATCCTTTCATACAGGCCACAAGTGGTCTGAGGATTATGAAATGACATACATCGTATTATATGGCCTTTACAAGCAAAACACCTCAATTCAGTAAGGCCCATGGATGATTTTGGACTGATGTGTTAGACAGGGCTCTGTGCGAAAATACAAAAATATGAGAATATCTTTTGGAAGCATTATTTCAGTAGAGTTCAGAGACTTGTCACACACTACTATAAAGTTTGCTATTGATGCCCACATTGTATTAAATGTGACAGATTGTTCTTTCAGCCTGCACACATCTCTCCATAACAGTTTTCCAAAAACCTCCAGCACTGACTTTCCCTTCTCATGCCATCATACAGTAAAAATGATTAATTATTTGCAGATAGCCCTCCCCTGTACATTTATGTGCCCTCTGTAGATTAGAGCAGCAGATAGATGTGCTGTGGACTTAATCGGTGTGTAATCAAAGGCCCGTTGTTACCTCTTTCATTATTGCCCATTACTATCACCCTCTTCATTACCTCATTAACCTCTGTTTAATCTCATCGCATGAGTAAAGCAGCCATGAATCACTCTGTTTCATTAATCACTGTAGTTGGAGTTACATTCAGAATACAGTGTATAATGACACTTCTTTTTTTTTTCTTTTTTTCCACCTATCATGGTTTCTAAATGACTTGCTCAAGTTCAGAGTTAATCTTCATTAAGATGATTTACACGGTTTAGTTTGATAAACTTTATTAGTATGACTATAAAATTCTGGTCCGAGAAAAAAAAACAAAAGTTTCACAAAACTGAGTTGTCCCCTTAAATTGTGGTTTTCGTTCAGTTCTCACTGATCATGTCATAAAAAGTATTGACCTGTTAAGAAAATTGCTGTTAATTGTATAATTAACAATACATAAAGAGGCAGTATACAGAGATCAAGTCAGATGTTATGTAAAGCCCTGAATAATCTAATACCATATGTTTCTTATCACAAGTGTTGTATTGCTAGGACTGTGGTTACTTTGTTGCATCAACATATTATTGACATAGTGCGTTCCACAGGAAAGCAACCAGCAGCGGTACACGCAGCGGTGGCAGGACCACAGGATCAGCAGGCACTGGTGGCATGTGGCGCTTCTACACAGAAGACTCGCCAGGCCTCAAAGTGTAAGTGCCGTTTATAAAAGCAGCTACTGTAAAACGGTTATACCCATACACACACTAAAGAAATAGTGGACATATACACGCACACAAACAAATTTAGCCTTTGACATTTGAAGTTGCATCCGCTCACAAAAACAGATTAATGTTCAGGTGTTCCGACACTTGGGCTGTCATTAATATTATGTTCATCAGGTACAGTGGGTGGAATGTCTAATGACAGGAAATTGGGCAGACGTGCCTTTGTGGTAAAACAAATCGTGTCTGAGCTGTGGAGCAGCTTGATTTAAGAGCGCGTGTCTGTATGCGCCCTGTGTGTCAGGAAGGTGCAGATTAAGAAAACTCCACCTCATAAACTTCTATTCTGCTGCATCCTCCCCCTAATATTAGAGATGTCGTCCTGTCTCGTGGCCATGGCTGATCGATGGTGCTGAGGTGGTTATTGAGTGTGTCTCTCCGGCAGTAGAAGGACGGCAGACTTGCTATACCGTGTTGTATATCGAGTGCATGTTTGTTCCCGCGTTAGACGCCGGTCTCAAAGCTTCATTAAAGGATCCACTCTGAAAGGTCAACTCAATTACAGCCTTCTGACAGGGGGAGGGAGGAGATGGTTGGCATGGCAATGCTGCTACTTAGCAATGCGTACCTCCACCCCACCCCCCCCACTCAGTCCCTCCTTCAGAGATGAGAGCCCCTCCTGGTTTCCGAAGCTCATCAATAAAATCAGCCACTTCACTAAGACTCTGGCTCTGGTTGGGTTTACAGCAAATGATGGGGTTTTCTGTTTGTGTATTAATCTGAATTTCTTTGTCGTTACAGCGGCCCGGTGCCAGTACTGGTGATGAGTCTGCTTTTCATTGCTTCAGTTTTCATGCTGCACATCTGGGGGAAATACACCCGCTCTTAAAGCCCACCTGATGACCTCCGACCCTGCACTTCAGCTTTTTAACACGTCAGATCTGGACCAAACAACAAATGAGCAAAAAACTTCTCCCCCTTGTTCCTTTCCCTTCCCCACTATCACTACAACACACAGACACACAAGCTGGATTTGTATGCAGCCTTTTCAGTACATGATCTTCATCTACATCTGAAGTCGGTATGCACTTTGTTGCTTTTACCCATCATGTGTTATGAACATTTGATTGGGCGAATGGGAGGAGTCAACATGAGCCCACCTCAGATGTGATATGTGTACGTGGCCCCTCCCCCCAAGCAGCAGCAGCATGTGTTCCTCCACTGCGCCAAGTTTCAGTGCCGTGCTCAGACATTTCTCCTTGTAGCCTGAATTTTTTTTTTTTTTAAACAGGATTTGTACAAAATGTAATGTAATATTGTACAATAAAATAAAAATGGTAAAATTCAACATGTTTAAAGATGACTGATTTTTGTTAAACAATAAAACTATTTGCACATTTCAATGTGAATTAATCTTTGTATTTAATTGGGGGGGTAACTTTTTATTTAGTTATTTTTGTTAATTTAACCAGCTAAAGTGCTATTGAGATAAAACTTTTTTTTTTTTAAAGGGAGATCGGGCCAGGATGGCAGCATCACAATTTCCGGCAGGATAATCCAACATGACAAATTTACAACAAGATAAATCAAGGTTTAAAATAAGCCAGGAACAGAGCACTTTACATAGGCAGTTGTCAATGTACTGGAAGCAAAAATGTGCTAAAAAAGAATCACAATAGAATTTAAAGTTGTTGTAAATCTAAGTCTTACCAAGTTTGGTAATATAGTTCCTGTTTGTAAACTATTCCAAGTAGTTGGAGCAGAAAACATGAAAGCTTTCTTTCCCGTCTGTCCGTACCCTAACGACAGAGCAGATATGTGTCCTGTGATCTAAGATGAGCTCAGTTGTTTTGCCGTCATATTTTCAGTGACAGGTGAGGTAGTGTTCTCACTTTGAACTTTCTAGCACTAGCAGACCTACGCCTAAAGGCCTGGACAGCCCCTTTGTTTCAACAAAAATTACATCCTGGTCGGTTTTGCTTTGAGACTGAACAGGAATCTTAGAAAGGAGGACAACTACAAGAATGCTGAGCATCAAGTTTCAGTGATAGTTCACCTAATGGTTAATGCTAGGTTTTAGACAAATTATAGCTAAGTGCAACGTATTTGACTGGGGATTTGGTCATAACTCACTAATTAATCCTATCAGTGTTCTTTATAATTTGTTTACTTGCATGTATACTTACCATATAATCAACCTTAACTGTCAGACTTATCATGCGATCCTGAGGCTCAGCATGTTGACCTTAACAAGATTACACACATTCTGTACAGCATCTTATCTGCATGAGTAGAAAAGCCCAGACTTGTCTTTATATATGAATAGCAACTCTTCTAAACTGAAATCGTTCTAGATGGGTCTTAACTTCTCAGTATGCATATTTCTATAGAGGTTCAAAGGCAACAGTTTCCAGCACGGTTGCCCTGGGGTTTAACACCAACTGTCCCGAAGCTTGTTTTTTCTTCCTCTTTCAATGAGTGCAGACAGGCAAAATGAACTTTTGAAAAGTAACATTTGAAGTATTATAACGTCAGAGTAATTCCAGAAAGCAGACAGGCATCAGAAATTGTATTGATTACATGTGATGACCTAAACACTGATTGTCTACGTTTGTACTCCTCATTCGTTTTACTTTTTGAAGCCAGAGCTAGAACAATCAGCTGATTTTTAGGAAAGCATTTTTAAGTACCTGCATCCAAAGCAAAATCATAATTTTGTTTAAATCATTTTCTAAATAACATCAAATTAGGAGGTGCTAATATTCTGCCAAACAAATTTTAATAGCAATTTGTGTTGATGTTAATCTAAAGGCTAATTTGCCTAATCAAAAGAATACAGTGCACATTTAGGTTTTCCTGTAAAATCACAGAATGTAGCTATGCTGTGTATTTATCATGTTTTGTTTCAGATGTTTTCTTTCTTCTCCTGAGGGGGGCGCTACAGACTATTCTCTGAATATCACTGAATCAGAGGATACAAGATATAACTGTTCTCACTGACGGACGAGCGTGAGCAGCACTGTGTGCTGATGTGGTGATTTTTTTAGTCAAATAGTAGATATTTGTATAAACACACTGAAGTCTGCCTGATAATTAAGTGCTTTATAACCAGACTTTTTAATTAAATTTGTTTTAAAAGGAACAAACTCAGCTGAGTTGAACTAAAGTAAATGATTAGAAAAGGCTTCAGAACTGATTTGTTCACATAAAGTTAAACAACATGGACCCTTCAGAAGTGTTTATAATGTGATGATCAGTGTAACGACTACTGTGGTGAACTGGAGGTTTGGGGAGTTTGTAGAAGTAGCTCTGGCCCAGGTCACCAGGTTATCTGAGTTGGGTATGAAACTACCAGCTGGCATCGCTTGTGTTCATGCTTGCAGGGGTGGAAAGTAACAAAGTATATTTACTTAAATGCAGTTTTCAGGTGTTTGTACTTTATTTTCATTTTCTGCTGCTTTACACTTTGACTTCACTGCATTTTAGAGGCAAGTATGGTATTTTTTACTCCACATTAATTCAATACCTTCAGTTACTTTTCAGTCAGCATAATTAAAAAAAATATTACAGTATAATCATACAACTTAACTGATTCCTTGGGGTAAATTCACAAGCTACACACATTACTTCAGATAAGGTAGTTAAAATTTGCTGCACATTTTCCAGCTGCAACATAAAATGTGATGTGCACAATAATGCAACAATAATTATAATCCACTGTGAAATGTACCATTCTGCATAATGAGTACTTTTACTTTTGGTACTTTAAGTATATTTCTATGCTAATACTTTTGTATTTTTACTTAAGTAAAACCACCACTGCATGCTTATGTGCTCATATTACTCACACTGTTGGGACCTAAATCTGTTTACACACTCACATTACTGGGGGTGAGCCTTTAATTTTTGAGTGGCACCTTGTTTAAATTTTATTGGGGTTAGGCAAGTAGTGGATATGCTTAAGGTTAGGGTAAGACTCCAGGAAATGTAAGTCAATGTAATATCCTCTGAAGTAATGGAAACACAGTGTGTGTGTGTGGGTGTGTGTGTGTGTGTGTGCGTGCACGCACTTGTATCTTGTGTTAAACGTAGCATTCGGATCCTGTTCATTAATTCATTGTGTTGCGATGGCTCAGATTTCCCACAAGCTTCCAGTGTTCGTCGCAAACTCAGGCACCACTGCCACATCACTCTCCCTCTTGTCCCTGTCCTAGACACACACATGCACACACTGAGAAACGCAAACTCCACAGCACAATTCATGGCGGTACAAAATGACAGTGAGCGAGAATAATTCAACATAACAATTAAATATGAAAGAGCCATGGCAAAGCCGTCCCTCAGTGTTCCACCCCTGCTGCATAGGTTTAATTCACCAATTATTCATTTAGTATCCATGCAAGGTGACATAGAGGAAGGCAAGTTTCATCCATAGCTGTGTGCACAACATAACACTATAGTGTTACTAACTAGCCAGTCTGTGAACAGTTCTTAAGAACTACCTCTCTTTTTTTATTTAAAATGGAATTTACAAGTGTGCGATTTATTCCCTTTGCAGATGAGATTATTAGATGAAATGTATGCGGGCACATATTTATTTCCACTAGATCAGAAAAGTGAAACCCACTGTATATCTCTGTTCTACATAAATCATTCTGAACACGGCCCTGAGATAACAGTTGTCTCGTGAAAAGAAGCTAAGCTTTCGTTAGAGTACTCTCTTTCTCTGTCTTTTTCACCAGAAACCCATATCCTGTAAAGAAACCACACACTTTCACAAGGGACGGTCCCTTACTAAAAGAGAGGTCAGCATGCACATGTGCACACACACACACACACTTTAGAAAACCTGTAAATAGGTCACAGGTATTTTCTGTTGTACTTGACACATGCTGATCTGTGGTTTAGCATGAAAAAGAAGCTGTTGTCAGTCTCTTCTCCACCTCTCAATGGCTATGTGACTCGTCCATTATGTCCCACCCTGCAGGTAAACACTGCTATCAGGATATCAGGTGCAGCAGAAGACCTGTGATTTTAAACTGTTCTTTCCTGGTCAAGAATATTCCTTCTGCATGCACATGTCAAGAATATGTGTATGTATGTTTGAACAGATCACATGGTTGGTAAAGCGTGGAATGGATGGACATACGCTCACTGACCAGGTCAAACCCTAGGGATGGTCCAAAACGCAAGGGCTGGTGGACAGGATGTAGGGACAGGCTCTACACTGTGAAATGGTATCACTGCTGTACACAGACCCAACAGGGGATTCATTTCATTGACAGATCTGTTTAATGGTGTAGTATACAAATATCAGCTAAAAAAGTTATTGCAGGGACTAAATATGTATTCCAAAGTAAATCTAGATGTTTAAAATTAGAAATGTGCATGTTGTAGTAAAATACACTGTCTTATTTTAGCCTTAGAGCAGAGGTGCTTATTCTTGGGAGTGGCCTTTTTCAAATAGTTATATTATGACATTTAAATTATTTGTGTGGTCCAGGTCGCATGGAAACTGACCACTTTGTAATGTTGAGAAGCTCAGTGCATCATGAACTCTGTTTTGCTTGGGAAATAGTTATCTACAATAGCAAATGATAGTAATAAACTTCAAACAAAGTGGCTAAGTAAAATAAAATAGTTACACTTAAGGAAAATACCAAACTGCTTTTTTAACCTACAACTACTTTTTCTACCTTTTAATCTGAAATGGCTTTTATAGAGCTAATTTCTGTAGATTTAACTTCTTTCATTTTAAATTTCACATCATTTATACTACAATGTATATTTGTTTTGCTGCTTACATTCCCTCATTGTCATTTTTATATCAATCTGGAAAATAGTTTATGAATAAGATATATATTAATATTATTTACAGTGGTACTACAAAATTCTAATTAAACATATGTACATAGTTTTTATGTTACTTTCCAGCTCCAAACATCAGAACATTCATGTTTAAATCATTTACATTCTCTGTGAATGTGTTCATGTTGATGTCCTCGCTGTGATCATGAGACCAGTGATTAGGCTGTGATTAGTCAGTAGCATAGCAGCCAGCTGGGACACTCTGTTAACGGCCAGCGATCAGTAGCACAACCTGATCTGCTCAGAGGCAAAGCTTGTTTGCTGTAAAATAATCTCACTCCATATTCTGCCAGCCAGACCACATAGTCACTGTCATGTGTACGGTGTGTAGGTCAGGAGGGCCGGAGGGAGCCGGGACTCTCACCACATGTGCATGTGTGTGTGTCAGCTGGAGGATTCCTGATCTTTCTGAACTGGGATCTTCCCACAGACAGAAACATGAGAGTCAGAGC